TTTGCTTTTGCTAATAACTAAATTAGAAGTTGGTTTATGATTAGGATAATGTGCTACAATGTAGACACATGCGCCATAAGCAACTAGTGAGGCATCACAATATCCTACTAAGTAAATTTCATTTGGTATATCTGAGAAACAATATCTAGGAATAGTAATATCTTTTAATATTTGAATATTATCATAGAAGGACAGCCATTGTTGTAGTAAATGTTTAGGTAATGGTGTATCCCATTGTATGATACTGGATTCTTTCCATAGCTGTTGCATGAAAAGTTTTGCAGTGATTGTAACAGGTGAAAGGTAACCGAGTGGGTCATAAATCTTGGCAATTATTGAGAGAACAATTCTTTTAGTAAAATGTAAATTACATTGCTGAGAGGGAATGTTAACTTTAAATGTATCTGTTGCAGGTTCATACTTGAGACCTAATGTACTAGTTTCATCACCAATAATAAGACTGGTTGGTGAATGCTGACTTTTGTTTCTTTCAACATCTTGTAATATCTGAGGATTGTTAGATGACCATTTATGTAATTGGAAACCACCTCTTTTAAATAGAGAAATTAATTGATTGCAAAGTTCTCTAGCTTCAGAGAGTGAGTTTGTTCCACAATGGACATCATCCATAAATGTTTGATATAAAATGCATTTTGCTGCTAATGGATAGATGTGACCATCCTGATGGGCAAGCTCTAATAATGTCCTAAATGCTAGATAAGGAGCACTTCTAGTCCCATATGTGACTGTATTCAGTCTAATAACTTTAAGATCATCGTTAGGAGATGCTCTCCATAGTATACATTGCAGGTTGCAATGTGAAGGATCTATGTTTATATTTCTGAACATTTTAATTAAATCACATGACAGTACATATTTATAGGTTCTATACCTTAATATAATGTCTATTAGATCTGTGTAAATGTTAGGACCCTCATGTAAGACTTCATTGAGAGACACTGATGTCGATGACTGACTACTTCCATTAAAAACTACACGTAATTTAGTTGAAACACTACTTGGTTTTATAACTGCATGATGAGGCAGAAAGAATCTTTTTATTTCCTTTTGTGTGTCTGATGGAGATGAAGAAGTAGGTATGTAAGATGCATGACCTAAGTTTATGTATTCATCAATGAATTCAGAATATTGTTTATGAAGTTCTGGATTGTTAGTGAATCTTTTCTCTAATGACATAAAGCACTTTTGAGCGATGCTGTAGGAATCACCTAGCTGATCTAGCTTGTCTTGTATAATTGGAAGTTTTACTGTAAAGCGACCTGTTGGGTCTCTAGTAGTTGTGCTTTTGTAAAGTTCTTCGCAAAATATGTGTTCTGGTGTAAGTATTGGGGAAGATTTTAGTTCCTCTTGCTCCCAAAACCGTTTTAATAATTCATCACAAGATTGTTCACAAGTTATATGAGCTGATATAACTGAGTTTTTGTTAAAGTGGTAATCTGTATGAGTTAATGTGTGGAAATTATTCGATGTGTGGAAATTATTCGATGTGTGGAAATTATTCGATGTGTGGACTGTATTATGATATAAAGATTGCATTGTTAATTCAATT